AGCAGGAGGAGACTGCAGAAGTAAAGGGAAAGTGAGAGTTCTGGCCAGGTGAGCCAAGAAACTGAAAAATGGGAATGCTCCAAGGTTGTTTAATTTGTAGAAGAGATTGAGGCCAGAGAAGGACACGTTGCCTGAGGAGAAGTAGTGAAGACTTCAGTGGAGAGTATCGAGAGCAGAGGACATGCTCTGAATGCTGTGTACTTTCAGCTATACTGAAGAATCGTGTCCACAGTGCTCCCCAAGGAGTTTGTTTCCCAGTGGAACTGATAGTATGGCCAGTAGCAATACAGCATCATTCCCATTAAGTTCAGAGGATGCTCTTTTACAGTTTTATAATGTATACTCTTGAGTTTTTTCACAACAGCATTACGAGAAGCTGTCCAGTGGGTTGAAAAGCGTACATCTCTTATCAGCCCAGACCAGAATAACCTCAATGAAAATTGCCAGCTAGGCACAAAATCTGCTCCTTGTTCATCAACACAAGGAGCAAAGATAGCAACCAAAAGCCAGGTACTTTTTTGCCTGGCTGTCTCCCTTGCTATTCCTACTCCTGTAACTTCACAAGTTGAAAGACTTAGAAAGGGGCTTCACCCACTGAGCACAGGAGCTATTGCCTGCTCTGCCTTTCCCCTTATGTTTTTATGTGCTCTGAATTCTCTAGAGAAGACGACTATTGCCTATTCTATAGCAGGAGCCTTCCTATATCACACTGCTGTGGATGCCACAGCAGACATAGTAAAGAGAGCTAAATTTCATTAAAGTGAAAAATCTGATTTCAACTTTGGAAGAGGTTCTTCTCTCCTATGAGAGCAGCTGCTAAGTGTTTCTAGCAGGATAGTAATCTCCTGTATTATCATGCAGGGAGCTCCCACAGGATTTTACAGTACTAGAATTTCCTGGGTAGGAAATAAAATTTTTCATTAGTTGAAGAGGAGGCTGAAGGAAACTTGATCCCAGTACCAAGACGAAGTCAAGACTGCCTATGTTCCAAGGCTTTTTGGTCTGGCAGTCAAAGTTAGAGCAAGACCCCATGACTGTACGTCGACGTTGCAAACCCATAAAGGGAAATGTAACGCACAATTTTAACAGTGTGAGCCACAGGAAACATAACGGAACAAATGAGTGAAGAAGGAGGTAGTATCTTTCAAGCCGAGTCTCCAAACAATCCGCTGTTGCTCAAAGGCAAAAATTTTAGGGGCAAATCTGTAGTTCAGTGTAAAAGTCAAACCATACAAACAGGTGGTGCTTGAATAGGAATGTAAGACTAAAAGGATCACTCGGGTCCTTGCGCCCTGTGCTGTACATTTGGAGTACATGTCTTTTCAAAAACAATCCAAGCCATCATAATGGCACACTGTGGTGGGTTGACTGTGGCTGGCTGCCATGTGCCCACCAAGCCGCTCTGTCTCCCGCCTCCTCAGCTGGACACGGGGGAGAAAATATGACGAAAGGTTCGTAGGTCAAGATAAGGACAGGGAGATCACTTACCAAATACCATCACGGACAAAACAGACTTGTCTTGGGGGAATTAATTTAAGGACAAAGAGATCACTCACCAATTCCTGTCACAGGCAAAACAGACTCGACTTGGGGGAATTAATTTAATTTATTGCCAATCAAATCAGAGTAGGATAGTGAGAAATAAGAACAAATCTAAAACCACCTTCCCCCCCACCCCTCCCTTCTTCCCAGGCTCAACTTCACTCCTGATTTTCTCTACCTCCTCCCTGCAAGCGGCGCAGGGGGATGGGTAATGGGGGTTGCGGTCAGTTCATCACACGTTGTCTCTGCCGCTCCTTCCTCCTTACACTCTTCCCCTGCTCCTGCGTGGGGTCTCTCCCACAGGAGACAGTCCTCCACAAACGTCTCCACCATGGGTTCTTCCCATGGGGTGCAGTCCTTCAGGAACGGACTGCTCCAGCATGGGTCCCCTGTGGGGCCTCAGGTCCTGCCAGAAGACCTGCTCCAGTGTGGGCTCCTCTTCTCTCCTTCTTCACTGACCTTGGTGTCTGCAGAGTTGTTTCTCTCACGTATTCTCACTCCTCTCTCCCAGCTGCTGTTGCACAACAGTTTTTACCCTTTCTTAAATATGTTACCACAGAGGCGCTACTACCGTCTCTGATGGGCTCAGCTTTGGCCAGCAGTGGGTCCATCTTGAAGCTGTCTGGAACTGGCTTTGTCGGACATGGGGCAGCTTCTGGCATCTTCTCACAGAAGCCACCCCTGCAGCCCCCCCGCTACCAAAACTTGGCCATGTAAACCCAATACAGACATTTTCCAACATCTGTAACAAACAGAAAAGACCAAAACCAGAGCTAGAAATGTCCCACTGGCAAAGAGCAAGAAAGGTCAAGGACAAACTTGTGTATTAGCAGGAACACAGAATGTATTAAATACAATTTCTACTAAACAGACCATGCCGTGTGCTACAGACAATGAGAAAAGAAATGCTAGTTCTCCCAAATAATCTTATCTTTGGGGGGAAAAAAATCCCTTCTGATCCAGAGCTCCTGTTTGGATAACCTCCAGAGTGCGAAGAGCACATCCCAGCCTGGGAGATGTTAATATTCCCCCTGGTAGCACCAGTGCATCCAGCTGTGCTGCCTCTTGTGGCCAATCACTGGTGCTACAAAGGAAAACAAACTAAAATCTATGAAGGCCATAAATCAACACTTTGGGTAGAGAAAGCCCAAATAAATTGGTATTTGGGAACGCCATACTCCATGATTCTTTGGAAATGCTAGTGGCAAAGCCCCTTCAGTCATAGTAATTTTTTTTTTTTTATCAAGTAGGTTCAGGTTTAAGGAGGCTGTATAGTGCCACAACAGCAAAAAATTACTTGTTAAATAGTATATATCTTGCTGGGTGGGTCTAAGCTTTTAGTTTTCCAGCTGTAAAACCCCAGAAAAATTACCCGGAAGAATGCAGATTACTGTTCACACTGGGATTGCACTTTCCCCCCATTAGTTTGATTAAACTGAAAAATCTGTGATAGAGTGCAAGGTGCCTGAAGCATCTCCTTGCATCCTAAAAAGGGAATGATTTATTCAGCTACTACTTATCTATTTCACCATAGTGAAATGGTTTGCATAGTTTTTAAAGCTCTATACTGACTGCTCAGGAATCGGCACAGTGCTGAAGAAGTCCTAAAAATATTCAAGATCTTCCCGGTGGTTCCCTAAATGTTCCACGTGGTGCGGCAAAGTGGAATTTCCCCTGCTATTTGCTTTTGCCTCGGTACAAATGATATTTAAGTAACCACGTTGTTCAATTGAACTATTTCCCCCTGGAAGCTGCAAGAACAAATTTTGTTGGTTTGGTTGTCTGATATTCTTTTGCCTAGGACGGAGTCTTCACTTCCAGCCCTTGCTCTGCTTTATCTGATGGGTATTTCACTGTCTCTCCCTCTCTCACAGCCTCTCCAACCATCCCTGTTCTGGTACTACCTGCTGGAGCTCTCCTTCTACTGGTCACTAGTCTTCACCCTGCCCTTTGATGTGAAGAGGAAGGTGAGTGGCAGCCTCAGGGAAGAATCAAACACAAACAGGACTCAAGCTGAACACTCAGGAGAGTGATCTCCAAGAGCACGTGTATAGTGCTAGTCTGAGGTTTTGGGGGACTCTGTCCTTGCTCATTCCCAGGAATTTCCATTCCCAGTCACTGGCTTCCCTCTCCTCTGGGAAGTGGTGAACACAAACCCTGATATAGAAAGGTGCAAACTACTGCAGAGTTCTCAATCCAAACTTAAAATCCAAACTTAAAAATTGCTCTTCTGAGACTCTTCTAGGCTGCAGTGATCATAGAGACAGAAGAGATTATTCTCTGCCAGTTAAGCTGCATGTGTTCCTAGGTGCCAGTGCCCCGACAGACAGGGTGCTGCATGATTACATAGGCATACACATGCATTGAGGCTGCGAGTATACCCTTGTAAGTAAAGGGTGGTTGTGAGTCTCCATCAGCGAGCCTGGGGGTATGAGATGATTGTGCAAACAGGTAGGCACAGAGCAGAGATGGATATGGGCATTGCTTTGTGACAGAAAGGAAGCTTTCTTTATGTTGAATTTGTCTGTACTGAATCATAGGCTCTTACTCTTCTGTCTTCTGATTTGCACCATCATCAGACCATTACTGGTGGAGGGAGAGAGTGTTCTTTGTTGTGAGATGCTCAGTTTACACCATAAACTCTTCATTCCTGGGTCTCTTGGTTGCTTACATTTCTAGAATGGTTTTGGTAAAAGACTTATATGGCTAAGACCTTATAGTGGGAGGTTTCTTAATCGTTGGTTAGAGAGATTTCATTGCTACCTGCAGGAGGCATGCTTTAACCAGGGCAGAAGGTGCATCATGTATTTTATTCTCTGCTGTCCCCTTTCTCATCAGGACTTCAAGGAGCAGATAGTCCATCATGCTGCAACCATCTTCCTGATCAGTTTCTCATACTGTGCCAATTACATCCGCATTGGGACACTGGTGATGGTGATTCATGATGCTTCTGATTGCTTCCTAGAGGTGAGCTCCACAACGTACATGCCTTGATCTAGCACAGTATGGGCCAAGCATTATGGTGTTTCACAGATAACTCAGTACTGATCTCCTGACCCAGCCTAGGGTGCCCTGCAGAGAGCCAGGAAGAGGCATTATTACCTGCATGCAGATTGTATCGTATCTGGCTCATTAACCTCCTGGAGCATGTGCAGATGCACTGTCTTGGCCTTCTGTTTTATTGTTCTTTCTCCTTCCAGCCAACTAAGATATTCAATTACATGAAGTGGAAAAAAACTTGCGACAGCCTCTTTATGATCTTCTCAGCTGTTTTCCTCATCAGCCGCCTGGTCATTTTCCCCTACACGTGAGTCTGCTGCAGTCAAGGGAAATGGAAAAGCTGCCTTCTGAGAGACAGGATAATTCAGCTGGATGCTGATTTTTTTGCTGCAGCCGTTGTTTTTCAGTCCTTGAGCATATGTCCCTGCCCTTTGCATAGGCTACAGTGTCACATGGCTGTTGCACCTGCCTTGGGGTAAACTAGGGTGGTCTGCCTTGGAGTTCATAGAGTAGTCTTAAAGTCCTGAAGTATACTACGGAGGAGGAGTCCTCGGCCTATGGCTCTACCCTGCTTATTTCTGGTGGGGAACTGAGAGTTGGCTCATATGTGTTATATATAAGAAGGAGGTGACTGACCTGAAACTTCCTCCGTAACTAGAGCTTTCTGGGGCTTAATTACGGCCCTACTAACAACACACTTTCCCTCCACTGCAATTCTCTCTCTCTTGCAGAGTGCTCTATAACACCTACTATTACTCCATGGAGATATTCCAACCCTTCTTTGGATACTACTTTGTGAATGCTCTCCTGATAATTCTGCAGCTGCTCCATGTCTTCTGGTCCTGCCTAATTATTCACATGGTCTACAAGTTCATCCTCCAGGGCACGGTATGGATCAGTTTGTGGTCCCCTGTACATCACATGGGGAGGGAGGGTCCACCTAGACTGCTTGAGAGCACAAGGGTTCATCTGGGATGGATTCCTTCTTGCTCTAGTGAAATTATACATGTACATTCCTAACAGTGAGGTGAAAGGAACACTCAATACTATTAGGGAAAGTTGACCAAAAAATAGTAAAATTTTTATGAGTCACTGCAATATTGGGTCCACTGCTGATGCTTGTATTCAAGAAAAATGTGGATTGGACTCCAGGGGAGATTTCTGTGAACAAAGCCAGTGACATCTGAGTAAGGATCCCAACACTTGGTCCAGTATGATTTGCATTTGTAACAAAACTAAGAAATCAAGGCAGAGAAAGTTGTCACGATTGGTGAGGCCAGTGCAAAAGTGCTTCCCTTATAGTACAGGATTTTTCATTATAGTGTTACTGAGATCACAGAATCACTGAATGGCTGAGGTTGGAAGGTACCTCTAGAAGTCTTGTCCATATTCCCTGGCTCAAGCAAGGTCACCTAGAGTAGGTTGCCCAGGACCACGTCCAGACAGCTTTTGAATATCTCTAAGGACAGAGACTCCACAACCTCTCTGGGCACCCTGTGCCAGTGCTTGGTCACCCTCTCAGTAAAAAACTGTTTACTGATGTTCAGAGGGAGCCTCCTGTGTTTCAGTTTGTGCCCATTGCCTCTTGTCCTGTCACTGGGCACTACTGAGAAGAGCCTGGCTTTGTCTTCTTTACACCCTCCCTTCAGGTATTTATATACATTGGTAAGATCCCCCTGAACCCTCTCTTCTCGAGGCTAAACAGTCCCAGCTCTCTCAGCCTTTCCTCCTATGTGAGGTGCTCTCCAGTATGTCCATGTCTCTCTTGTACCGAGGAGCCCAGAACTGGACACAGCACTCCAGCTGTGGCCTCACCAGTGCTGAATAGAAGGGAAGGATCATCTCCCTTGACCTGCTGGCAGCACTCCTCCTAATGCAGGCCAGGAGGGGCAACGGCACATTGCTGGCTCATGTTCAGCTTGGTGTCTGCCAGGACCTCCAAGTTTTTCTTAGAAGAGCTGGTCAGCCCCCAGCATGTACTGGTGCCTGGGGTTGTTCTTCCCCAGGTGCAGGACTTCACACTTCCCCTTGTTGAACTTCACAAGGTTCCCGTCAGCCCACTTCTCCGGCCTGTCAAGGTCCCTCTGGATGGCAGCATGATCCTCTGGTGTATCAGTCACTCCTCCCAGTTTTGTGTCTTCAGCAAACTTGCTTAGGGTACACTCTGCCCCATCATCCAGATCATTAATACATGTTTCATACAGATTGTCTTACAGTGCTGTAGATGTCTACAGAGTAGATATTTCTGTCTAAACTAGCTGTCTGGACTCTTTTCGTAGCAGTAGAGGTAAACAGGCATGCCCAAAGCATAATCCATTCAAGATTGCACCCACATAGTGCTGTTCATCTCTATCAGTCATAGAGCAACCCTAGATGAATGTCTGAGATGCAGCTGTATAAACTTAAGTGAAATGCATCCCACTCTTTCTGAACATAGCCTGTAGTATTTCCTGTGAGACCAAACTGCTGCTCAGCATGAAATTCTTCCCAAAATCAAAGACATTACCTAATGGCACTAGATTGGCCACATGCCAAGGACACAGTCCAGGAGTAACAAGTCCCTGCCTTGTGGGAGTTGACCTCATAGCCCAAGATGAGTTGTTTTATTAGTATCCAACTGGGGAATTCTGTCTTATGGGAACTGAGCACAAGTATTAAAGGCTCATCTTCATCCATATTGTACCCATTTTCTTTATCTGCCTTCACTTAAGCACAGAGCAAATTACTTGCAAATTAGGAAACAGAAACTTCACACAGGGCAGAAAATGAAGACGCAACTGAAGACGCCCTTTTATTGTTTTCCTAATTCTAGTGTGGGCTGAATTACCATTGCAGTTATTACAGTGTAAAATGATGAGGTAATAAATAACCTTATTAGAAAGAAATGAACCATCAGGGAGAAAAATACTGAAGCACATCCAGAATTTTTCCTATTTTATCTAAAAAACATCTGCCACATTTGATGCAAAAATATATTTGAGAGCTTTCCATATTGAGCAGTGAATAGCAAAGAAAAATCATCCTAAACAGATCTTTTTCAATGATGATATTTAATAGCCCAAAGCAGTACCAGCAAGAATACAGGACATTCTCCCCTTTTTGAAAGCCATGAAATTCTCGCTCCAGTCGGAAGTTCACATTCTTCTCATGGGCCTTTCTGATCTCCACAGTTTTCCTCTCTGGCTACAGGGTTATCTGCACCACCTTCTCACATGATGTCCCCTAATCCCCCGTAATTAGAACTCAGCCTAGAGCCTGAAGTACGAGTTTCATTCCCTCATACAGGCAACCTGAGATACATTGTTGTAATTCATGCAGCTATATGGTTCCTTTGTGAATCTTGCTAGGTTTAAGACCTCAGCCACATTCTATGGCCATGAATAGATAAACTCAGGAGTATTGATTGCTATTTGTCCTTATGCTGCAGATCAAGACTCCTGCATAGTTCCTGAGCTGCCCATTCCAGAATGACATGAGGTCCAGGTTGTTCACAGAAGATAGCATCTCCTACCCATATTGTCCTTGGAGGCAGTTTGAATTCAGTGCAAGTTTAGATTCTTACAAATCCTGTCTGCATTTGGGTGTAGTGATCTCTAGAAAGAGCATCAGGCCAAATAGACTTCTTAATATGATCCAAGAGATATCCCCAGAAGAACTGACAGAGTAAATGGAGACTACAGGTGTCCGTGCAGCAACTGACATGCCCCTGAGCAGTTTCCAAAGCTCAGGTCACAGAAGGGGTTTGCTGCGTTCCCTCAGAGCACTGTTTCCAACAAGGAGTGTGATACCGTGAATTTGTCCCCAGTTTTGGCATCTTGTATTGCAGAGTAGAAACAGCCTGGGAAGCCAGCAAGTGCTAGGCTGCTTCTTCTAATCTGTCTTTTTATCACAATGTTTCTTCTTTATTTTCCTTTTAAAGCAATGAATTAAGTATTTACAAAAGTGAATTACAGATCTCTCAGTCAATAGCAAGAGGAAAAACCTGAACGTAAAACTGAATGTAATCAGAGTTGAGTGGCTTTGTGTTGAGCTACTGGTTTGTTTGAAAGCATATGCTTTCAAACTGTCCAAAGCAGTGTGCTCAACCTGCAGCCACCCAGGCCAAGTGTGGTCAGAAGCTATCTCCTTGTCCCTTTTGGAAAATGTAAAAGAGCTTGATTAACTGCCTCCACCCATCCTTCTTCCACACACTGATGCCCAAAGCAGCAATGTGGATCTTGTCAGTCTTACACGGTTTTCCTCAGTCCTGGGCATCTGTGGTTTGGTGCAGCTTCTCAACCTGTACAGTAATTGCTAATGTTGATTAGGATCACAGCTAGGATTCCACTGAGGCTGAAATCAAAGAGATGGAGAGAATCTATTCCCAAAGGTGGTATAAAAGCTGAAAGGACACAGTAGAACTGTGTGCCAAAGGCAGGTGGCTGAAATAGCAGATGAATGTTTAGCCTGTTGCTCAGCTAGCACTGCATCTTGTGCAGACTTCTATGTTTGTATTGCTTCTCACTTACATTTTTCTGTAGATGAAAAAGGACATGAGAAGTGACACAGAAGAAAGTGACAAGGATGAAGAAAGAGAAAATATTAGGGAAAAGGAGAAAAACGGGATCACGTATTTCAGCAATGTCACAAGCAACAATTATATCCAGAGGAATGGGTCTGAGTCACTGAACAACAGAACCCATCTCACCAATGGCCATGTCAAGGAAAGATAGCTACTGTTCACGTGCTTCTGATCTAGTCTTTAATGAATCCAGTCCACTGTCTTTAGAAACAGTTTTGCTCATTGTGTAGATAAAATGGAGTGCAATTGAACTATCATAGCTGAATTCCTGCTTCCTATAAACAGAAGTGTTTATACTCAGTGATATTTGAAGGAAGTTTTTGGTCTTTCTTCAATAAAAGCTTACTGTAGGCTGTAGCCTTGAAGCAGATAGAAAGGGATCAAAGTGGTTTGTCTTGTATTAGACTGTATCATAGTTGTTGTTAAATGTGTTAATCTTGAAAAATACTTAAAAAAAAAAGGTGGATAAACTCTGGCAATGTCAAGTCTTAACCACCTAATGTTATTTGGTAGGAATCTGTTTAGCCTTGATCAGCCTCTGGAGGCCCTGGCCCATTGCCACTAATGATTATGGCTAACAAATAAGTGTGAGACTAAATCTTAATATGGGGACACCTCTTTTGAGAAGACAGCTGCCCCATACACACTCAGAAAATTAAAACTAAGCATAGTGGAATGAAAACTTTGGAAAGACATAGGAGAAAACATCTTCTTCTCAAAGGAAATGCTGCTGAGTGCCGTATGACCAGTTTTGTATTGGTATGGATCTCAGTCCCTTCTGTTGTCAGCATTACTGCCACAAAGGTAGGAACTCAAAAGCCCAGATTGGAGAGAGTACCCACCCAAATCATAGTTGGAAGAGCTGGAAAATCCAGGCAGCTGTGTCTCAACTGTAATCCTTTAAACCTGTCTTGGAAGGAAGCGGAGTCAGAAGAAGGGAGGTGACAAGAAACTAGATAATCTAGAAGACAACACTGATTAAGTGCTTGTGTTTTCACCTAGTGTGATTGGCACAGTGGGAAATGTTTACAGAGTCAGCTTGTGGCAAGAAGGGAATACATTTCTCCTATCCTCGGAGGAAAAAGGATCCAGAGAAGATCTGCTGAACCTTATGGAATAGTGCTTTAACATGGCCTTCTAACTCCAGGGCCTTTGTCTAGATGTATCAAGAATAGCAAGTTTAAAGCAGTAGTCCATGAAGTCATGATGCAGTTCTGATTCAGTTTGTTTAGATGTCCTGTATCTTATAACCTGTGTAGTCTTAGACTTTGGATTCCGTAATCCCTTAAAAGAGTTAAATTAGTATGACATGAATTTCTGTTTTATAGATCAATTAATCTATGAAACCAAAGTATAAACAGATTCACTGTAATGAGTGCAGGGACTTAGACTGCCAAGGCCATGCAGACACTTCCCAGTAAGGGCTAATGCTAACTGGGGGGAGGACATGGACCAAGGAAATTCCTGACTTGAGGAGGTGGTGCACATGTTTAAAATTAAAAGGCAAGTGACAGCATAGGACAAGAGGGTTTTCAGCCATCCATTCGGTTCACCTGAGATGTGACTGAGAGAGCTTTGATCTGAGCTTGTATGTGTTCATCTTAGGTTTCAGTCAAAATACATTGGATAATTTCAGAGCGGAAAAAAGTGGTTCCAGTGCGGGTGATTCCAGGGCAGTAACATGCTCTGGGAGGAGAGCATCTGTTCCTGCATCGTCATTTAAATTCATATTTGCTGAAGATAGTTTGTCTCTGAAACCTTGAGCTAATTTGAAGTTCGAAGTACATGTTCCGTATACTGTCATGTTTCTTTAATCTGAGTAAACAATCTTGCCACTCCTTTGCAGGTGATGTGTTCAGGAGGGATGGTTATATATAATTTTGTACTACTGAATGTAAACGTTCTTTATAAATTACTTTTGAAAGGTTTGATTGTCTGGGGTCTTTTCTACTTCTTTAACTAGCAGGAGGTAACCTGGCTAGTTGCACTTTATAGATGGATGTGTGATGAGGAAGACGTGTATGGGTGCCATTGCCAAGGTCGATACACATGCAGCGCACATGGAGAGGATGTTGCATACCCAGGACATGCAGTCATACTGGGCCATGCCAGTAGAGCATGCTGCATGCTGCAGCTGCCTGATTTGTCTCATACTAGGTAAAGCTGCATTTGGCCCTGGAACAAGGGACACTTTGGGGCACCCTACACTAGACCTAGGGGTGGGCCAGCTTACTTGGTACTGCCAGGGCAGTGGCAAGTCCAAGATTGCAGCACTGGTGAGATGCTTTGGACTTGCAAGGGTAGGAGGGGAGAAATTAATGTCTATTCTTCTTTTTCATGAGGTTTTAGAAGGCTAGGAAAGATCCCTGTTGTAAAATCACACCACCTCTCACCTGAGGAGCAGAATGCTTCCCGGAGACTGCACAATGCACTGTGGAGCCAGTGCAGACATACATTGATGCCTGCTGAATTTTATCCTCAGGGCTTTGCTGTCCCCCTGAAGATTGAGATAAGCTCATTAGGAGGCAAATCTGATTCTTGTGAAAGGGTACATCAAGGATTCAGGAGAGCTGTTAGACTTGATTAAGAACTAGAGTGCTGCTTTTAGCTGAGGAACTGAGCATGACAGTGATGAGTCACTGGGGCAGATCAACTGCTGAATTTGTTTTATTGCCATCAACTTGCTAAGTCTTAACGAAGCTCAGTGTGTAATCAGCTTCCTCCCCACATTGTTCCACCCTCTCTTTACATCTGCTCCAGCGTTGGGAAGCTTGTGAGTGCTGTGATAGTATTTATGAATTTAGTATATCAACTCGCTCCACCCCCTCCATACTAGGGGCATCCGAGCCCCCAGCACAGAGACGCTGTTGTAGAAAACCTGCAGCAAGACTGTCACTTGTCTGCTGAAAAACCCAGCAGAACGGGTGGAGCACTGGGCACCACAGCAGCATCTGAATCTATTTCCCCTGTATCTTTATCACCCCATGTGTACAGGGGAGGCGTGCATCACACAGTGCATGCATCACATGATGTGATCAAGCAACTGTAGGAGATGAGGTGTCCAGCTCCAGGTGAACTATGAGAAAAAGAACATTTACTGGTGCTCCCATGCTCTTGTGTGGTGGGTGAGTTGAGGACTGGCAAAGCATGGCCCCCAGGCTGTCATCTGGCCAGCCTAGCCCAAAATTATGGCTGACATGAATCTGCTAACTCCAGTAGACGTGGACATCTAGTGCTGTTTTGGATCTTGTTTTAAGAGCAGTTTGGCACAGTTGTTCCTTTCCCCCTGCACACACTTGGGAAACAGCAGAGATGTGCATCCACCCAATTTTTTTCATTTAGACATGTACGCCCAAGGGAACCTTCACTTGGATGGCTACACTTCTAAAGACATTGCTTTTCTCATTTGCGCATGTACAACAGAGACAGTGCCTGCAGGTAAGGGCGTCCCTAAGAAACAGCAAGACAGTGTTCAAAAAGCTGAAGTCATGTCTAAACAAGGAACGTGGAAAGGACCTGTAACTTTGGCAGATTAATGTGAACATGTAATAAAGCAGGCCAAGAAATATCTTGAGAAACAACTTGAAAGGCAATACCAGTCTCTGAAACATTGGAAAGACTGCAGGAGTCATAGATAATGGAGGCACATAGCAAGAACACTGAGACAAGATCAGGCTAGAGCCAAAAAATTCAATGAGCTGCCTGCATATGACTTCATAGAATCATAGAATCATTAAGGTTGGAAAAGACCTCTAAGATCATCGAGTCCAACCATCAACCCAACACCACCATGCCCACTAAACCATGTCCCTAAGCGCCTCATCTACACGTCTTTTAAATACTTCCAGGGATGGGGACTCAACCCCTTCCCTGGGCAGCCTCTTCCAATGTTTAACCACTCTTTCAGTAAAGAAATTTTTCCTCATGTCCAATCTAAACCTCCCCTGGCGCAACTTGAGGCCGTTTCCTCCCGTCCTATCGCTTGTTACTTGGGAGAAGAGACCGACACCCACCTCGCTACAACCTCCTTTCAGGTAGTTGTAGAGAGCGATGAGGTCTCCCCTCAGCCTCCTTTTCTGCAGGCTAAACACCCCCAGTTCCCTCAGCCGCTCCTCATCAGACTTGTTCTCCAGACCCCTCACCAGCCTCGTTGCCCTTCTCTGGACACGCTCCAGCACCTCGACATCCTTCTTGTAGTGAGGGGCCCAAAACTGAACACAGTATTCGAGGTGCGGCCTCACCAGGGCCGAGTACAGGGGCACGATCACTTCCCTACTCCTGCTGGCCACACTATTTCTGATACAGGCCAGGATGCCATTGGCCTTCTTGGCCGCCTGGGCACACTGCCGGCTCATGTTCAGCCGGCTGTCGACCAACACCCCCAGGTCCTTTTCCGACAGGCAGCTTTCCAGCCACTCTTCCCCAAGCCTGTAGCATTGCATGGGGTTGTTGTGGCCAAAGTGCAGGACCCGGCACTTGGCCTTGTTGAACCTCATACAGTTGGCCTCGGCCCATCGATCCAGCCTGTCCAGGTCCCTCTGCAGAGCCTTCCTACCCTCGAGCAGATCAACACTCCCGCCCAACTTGGTGTCATCTGCAAACCTACTGAGGGTGCACTCGATCCCCTCATCCAGATCATTGATAAAGATATTAAACAAGACCGGCCCCAAAACTGAGCCCTGGGGAACACCGCTCGTGACCGGCCGCCAACTGGATTTACCTCCATTCACCACAACTCTCTGGGCCCGGCCGTCCAGCCAGTTTTTGACCCAGCGCAGAGTACACCTGTCTAAGCCGTGAGCCGCCAGCTTCTCTAGGAGAATGCTGTGGGAGACGGTGTCAAAGGCCTTACTGAAGTCCAGGTAGACCACATCCACAGCCTTTCCCTCGTCCACTGATCATAGAATGGTCACCTGGTCATAGAAGGAGATCAGGTTGGTCAAGCAGGACCTGCCTTTCATGAACCTGTGCTGGCTGGGCCTGATCCCCTGGTTGTTCTGCAACTTCCCTGCTTAGAAGCTCAAAGAGGGTCCAATACCTGACATCTTGCTGAGGCTACATCCCAAGAAGATCCATCTCAAGCTGATGGGTGTGAAGATGTTATATAGCAAACAGACTAACTGAATAATAGCAAACCTTCAAACCTGGGTGGCATTCACTTAAGTGTCAAGAGGAAACTCGTACTAGAAGAAGTTAAACTACCAACTGTGGAATGCCATTTTTTGTTTCAAATCATCTTGTTACCAGAAAAATTTAAGAAGGTTCCAAGTGGGAATGTGAGGAGCTATAGCCATCTGTATTCTGACATCCAGACTGGTCAGACTGGTAGAAAGTATAATAAATGATGGAATTTGTGGAAACACATATGAACATAATATTTTAGGAAAGAGTCCCCATGGGTTGTGTATGAGGAAATTATGTCTCACTCTGCTGGAGGTATCCCAAAGAGTCAGTGAGCACATGCAGAGAAGAGAACCTGCTACCTACTCAGCTTTGCAAAAGCATTCAGAAAGGTCCCTCACCACAGACTTAAAGAAATCCACCTGAGGTTACCATGAGAGACCAACATGGATTTTTTTGCAGCTATGTATTGTTGCAGGTGCCCCAAAAAGTGGGAGGGAAAGGCAGATGGCAAAATTGGCTGATAATGAAAGTTACTCATGATGATGATGCAGACTGACTGCAAGCAGTTGCAGAAGGGTTTACGGTACTGAGGGACTGAGTGATAAAACACAAGTGAAATTGAATATGGAGGAGAGCAATGTGGTGTACATGAGAAAGTCTCCTGAAGTGCTGGGCTGAGTGTTAGCACTTCAGAATAGTTTTGGGGAGCGGTATATCAACTTAGTGCTCAGTATGTGGTGGTTCAGAATGCAAATAGGATTTGGGATGTTGCTGGGCAAGATGTAGGAACCAAAACTGTGACTGTTGGGGCCCTAAGGGTGCCAGAAGATCTTAATGGCTGTGGCCAGTCTCACCTGGGACCTCCATCCACACCCTCTGCCAGGTGTCAGAGCTGATTGATAGGTGAGGGCTTTGCAGCCTGGGAAGGAAAAGGCTGGTAAGAAAGGGGGGGCAAGAGAGAAGCCCCTGCTGTTATTGTCACCAGGTAGGGACTTCAGTCATCTGTGCAGCAGAGTGTAATTGAAGTTAGCCACCTCCTTGACACCCACTAAATTACTTTCTTGTGCTAGGACATCTTACCCCACCTCCAAGCTCACGGGCAGGTCAGAACAAGTGATGCTATTTCAACTAGTCTGAAGTCATACTCATGGGATCGAGTGGGAGGTGGGGAGTGTGAACGATGAGCTGTTGAGCTGGGAATCCTGATTTAGGAATGAGCTATATGCCTTGCTGCTACCTGCTTGCTCAGTCCCAGAGCCTCTGCTTTCTGTGCCTACCATCTTGACCAAGATGGGACTGTCAGAGGGATTCTGGCACCATGAATACTGGCTGCCACCTGGAGCTACCTGGGAAGACATGAAGGAGTCTGCAGACATACACTACCCACAGCCTCAGGACCTCTTGCTCTGCCTCCCCGGTGCCCTGCTCTTGATCATTGTCCGATGCATCTTTGAAAGGTGAGCACAGCAAATCCAGTTTCTCCTGTGTTGGTTGCCACCAGTGTCTTGCAGGGTTGCTCCAGACTAATCCTTACCTGCTTCCTGACCACTACAAAGTGGACAGGGGATTGTCCCTAAGAATACTGAATCTCTCTGCTTTTTGTGGCATGTTATTTGTGTGGCAGCTCTTTGCCCTGCCTTCCCCTCCCTCTCTCCTGTACCTGTAACATAACCTGTACCAGCAGGTGTGAAAAGACAAGTCCGTCACTCAGTCACACCTCAACTGTGGGTGGAGGGTCCCTCTGGAGAGAGTCCAGGTGGGAGCTTGCAACACAGATAAGGGATTTGCTGGGTACATCAGTGTT